AGACCAACAGCTCATAAAAACATACATAGTTGACAAAAAATTAGTTACACGACCAATTACAGGTCAACAATAAAAAAAAGAAACGTATGGGCAAAATAATAAGATTGGTCTACGATTCGTCCTCTAAATAATGTTAAACAACTGACATCATTGAGTTTTATTTTTCTTAACATTTATTTCAATTTAATTTATTTATTTGATTTTATTGTCAGCGCCATGTAAGCCTACAATTACAAGCACTCACACTGAAGTACTTGAATGATGTAGTGCCCGTGGCGCGGCGCCCGCCCCATCTAGTTACGAGGCATAGCAGGGCTGCCAGATGAAAAAAAGGCATGATCGTACGTCAACTACAAAAAAATCGTATTCCAAGGAAATTTTGAAATGAAAAGATAGTACAACTTAGAAGTTATTAAAGTGTTTATTAAAAATGACAATAATTCGTTCAGAATTTGAAAAATTATGTAATAAAACTATTTATTAGAGTTATACAAATTTTCTGAGTTCATATATTTTAACATTTCTGTTGTTGGCTTAAATTGAGCCAGTGTTTTATAATTTTCAAATTGTTTTTAATGACGCCCAAAACCATTTTACCATTGTAATAAGGCCTTCTTTCAAGTAAAAGATCTAGGCATAAGTAACATTGATAGGGGATTCCCCGAACATAAAGCTGCCGGAGGAACACATTCGTTTCATTACGAAATGTTGCCAGGTACAGAAAAATCGTACACTTTCCGTACGATCGTGGTCGAGCGATCGTACATGAGTAAAAATGCCAAAAAATCGTAGGAGTACGATTTAAATCGTACATCTGGCAGCCCTGAGGCATAGCATTGCAGCTGCATGGACACACACACACACATACGTACACGCACACACACCCACACTTCATAAATTTATCATATGACAAATTCTTGAAACCCTTTTGTATGGGTATTTAGTGTTTGTTTTTCTTTTTTGTCATTTTTTTATGTTTTGTCCATGTTAATTTAATTTTATTATTTATGTTAGTAAATTATATGATTTTTATATACATATTTTTTTAAATTAAATGTACTAAGTACTGTTATATAATATCGCCGTTAGCAGCTTATGAGTTTCTGTAATTGGCATTACTATTGTATTTATATTTTATTTTATTAAATCCACAAAAAACTTCTGTAGAAACTTTGTTTTGATACTCTGCCAACCTCACAAGGGGTATTACGCGACGAATAATCATAGAAAGCAGCTCGACCTTATCGATACTTAGGTCCGTATTACAGAATGACAACTAAGGCCCGTATTATAGAAAGATACTCTGTGATTGATCTAGTCTGGAGCATAGTTAGAAAGGGGTGTCGCTATATACAGCACATAGCGATATCCCTTAGAGAAAGGGATGTCGCTATGTGCTATATATAACGATATCCCTTTCTAACTATGCTCAAGACTAGATCAATCACTGAGAATCTTTCTATAATACGGGCTTTAGTCCAGGAAACATCAGCATTCCCCACCTCAAAGCACATTGTGATTTGCTAGCAATGTTGCTTGCTGACGAATTGCTCGCTCAGTCTCAAAGGTAATAAGCCTGCGGCGACAGTGTTAATTAATAGTCGAACTAATTACGGTAATTAATGAAGTGCCTTGTAGTTTTCGAGGCGTTATGCCGTTCGAACGGTAAAGTGCGAGTATGATAAATTAAAGATTGCCCTTAGCGAACGAAAAGGTTAATGAAAAAAGAAACCTAGAAGTGTTCGCATTTTGTAGTTAACATTTCCAAAAAGATATTGTTTAACCGTAATTTTTTGAAACTTTTATTTCGTCGCCACCTTTTTTTGTTTATTATTTTTTGGCAAAAGTCTTGACTTTATCAACAACCATTGGTGGTTCAGCGGTAGAAAGCTCGTCTACTTCGCGGGCGGCCCGGGTTCGTTTCACAGCTGGGCAGAAACTTATTTTATATTAACGATTTTAAAAGTTTCACTGGCGATTATAGTAAAAGTAGATTTTTAAGCGCTTTGCTCGACCTTACCAATCCTTGTATTATAAATTAGTAATAATGTTACTGAACTATTATCAACAAAACAATAATTACGATTTGTTAGGAAATATTTAAAGATTTTCCTTTTCGTTCACCCTGTGACAAATTGTCAGTCAGGATTGAGTCTTTTCTATTTCATTTTTTGCCTGGGAAATGCCTTACGCATCCTTCAACCACTGAGGGAGCAAGAAGAAGGTATCTGGGACTCCTCCTCATTCAATTCAACCAGCCCTGGGGTCGTTGTAATGAACAGGGCCCTACCTAATGCCCTGAACAGGACAAGTAAAAACCAGTCAATATTCCTGCACCATATCACCCGATCCGCATTGCTAGGACCGCGGTCCCCACAGTGCAGAGTCCGGCACCGTTTCCATTGACCACGCAGTCAGGTTTGTGGCCTGCGCGCTTCGATTCAATCAAAAAGGGAAGATACGGTACGCTCTTACTAGCATCAAATAAAATATGATCCGACTCAACTACATAAGCAACTCTCACACACGCACACGTCTGTAAATAAACATATTATCGAGCGAGCGAGACAGAACAGTACGCTTCAACGCAGCACGAGCGAAACGGCGAGTCCGCGTCCGAGTCCGCGCAGCTGAGCTGTATTGTTGTTCTTTTCTTGATAACAAAATGGCGATTACGTAAATAGCTTTCGCGACAAACCTTGAATTTTGAGTTTTTTTTATAGTTTTACGAATGAGAAGTGTTGCCGAGACATTTGTTATTTGATTGAGTGCACATGTATCGCGTTTGAATGTCCAATTGTGTCTAAAGTGAATTGTGGTCATGCACCACAAATTAGGCGGATCACTTTTGAGCCGCCAGTGCCGTATCTTTCCTTTTTGTTTTGCCTGCGCGTACCTATATCACGTTCATTAAATATTACAATATTAAAATAGACATCCAGGCAGACAAATGTTTATAGATAGTCTGTATTTATAAAAGGCAATCGTAACTGACTGACTGATCTATCAACGCACAACTCACACCACTGAATGGATAGCGCTGACATTTGTCATACATATAGCTATAATCAATGACATATAATATATTTATACAGGTTATACGCCAACATTATTGCATTTTAAAATGACACAAGTAGTCCCCGCCCCAACTTCCCTTTTCAACAGCCGCCAATAGGGCGCACTAAAGTTGTCTCTTTCACTCTCATTCATAAAGCAGATTACATCTCGCTCATTAGCCTCTTTATGTCAACAACTGTCAAAATAAGTAATCACTATTTTTTTACATTAATTTCTTTAAAACTGTACTTACGAATGAAATGACGCGTTTTTCTTGTTTCTTATAGTCCCCGTCATAGATAAATCATTCATCTATGGTTCCCGTGTAATTTGTGTACTATTTTAAAACACACAGGCCTTTTTTTCTGGAAAAACGTAAAATATTTACACGTTGTAGCAAAGTGTAGCCGCGGCGAGAGAGCACGCCCGACTGAATGCTAGTCGGGCATCTACCTGACTTTCGTATTGCCAAATTCGAAGCGTGTATTATAACTTTAAAACATCATAAGCTATAAAGGATTTTTCAAAACTCATCCCCTGAAGGGGTTAAACGGACGGAACGGTTCAAAGTTTGTATGGAAAACCAATATCTCCACGCAGACGAAGTCGCGGGCACCCACAAGTGTTCCATAAAATTATAGGACATTGATCGCGTATATAAAAAGTCCAAACTGAAGTATGTCTTGATCAAGAAGCACCCCGTCATACCCACTCTATTGATGAAACAAGTCTCAATAATCTTAGATTAAATCAAAAAGATTAATCTAAGGGCAAGTATAATTAATAGTACTTACTTCAACGGTAAAGCTATTGACGACGGTGCCGTAGTCCAGGAAAATACAATGCTATCGGATTTTTAATTATGAGAGCTCTTGTCTGATCTTTTCACTAAGCTGTTGTTACCGGCTAGCGTTATTCATAGGGAAATTCTATTGTGTGCGATATTCTAACCTTCTCTTAAATAGCTCGACGTTTTGGATCACTTTATGGATAACACTAACAATGTGTTGAAACAAAAACGTCATTGTATAATAATATTATAAGTAGCCTATTGTAATAATAGGCTACTTTAAAACCTACTGGATAGAAGCACAAAAGCACATGTATACATATTTTTAACAGACTTCAAAAAAAGGATGTTCTTAGTTTGCCCTGTATTATATTATTTGCATGTGTATATATGTTTGTCTGCGATTATCTCAAAAACTACTGATCCGATTTGAATGGGGTTTTCAGTATATGCGTATTTTTCAGGGAAGCTTTTAGTATATCAAATAATAGCTGTGTTCCACGGTTTCACCCGCATAGATCGATTCTAAGAGCGCACGTAAGCGCGATGTTCCTATCGACCTATGAGTGCGAGCCCAGTAGCATAATCCATATTACACTGGAAATTGGAAAAATAAAAAATTGGAACTGACTTTAAAAACACTGAAAATGAAAAAAATAAGATTTACCGGTTCATTATTTGAAGTCGATATCAAGCCATGTGTTTAGATCATGGTAATGGTATCGACTTCAAATATATCGGTCGGTAAATCTTATCTTATCATTTTCATTTTTTTTTAAATCGGTTATATTTTTTTTGTATTCATGAATTTTTTATCCCCCTTATTCATAAAAGGGGAATGAGCTTACACTAGTATTTTGTTCACATTTAATTGACATTTTAAATTTAATGAACAAAGAAATAAACATAGAGTAACTAATCCAAGCACATTCTTCGTTTATTAATGGGGGCGATATGCTTAACAAAATATTATTTTTAATCAATCTATTGATCTAGTTGTATTTCAATACAACGTAATTAGTATGTAAGGTAGACTGATTTTAAACACTTTCTGGTGGGTTGATGCAGTTATGGTCGTCCTACTAGGGGAGCTACAGAGAAACTCTTGAAAATTGACAGTTGTTTTATGCAAATCCCGCTATTCTATTCACAGCTACGTCATCAGAAATGTACTCACGGAGCAGTCGCAACGCCGTAGGCGCGCTGGACGGGCGCGGGCTTGTGGCCGTCATCAAGCGGCAGGTGCCACTGGCGGGACAGCTGGACCACCAGCTTGCCTGGGGCCAAGGGTGGGGCTGGGTGACTTTACCCAACGGCGTCTGGAGCGGACGTGAGTGTAGCATATCAAACGTTCTAATGCCTGACGATAGAGCGTAAAGCAACACTGAAAGCAACACATTATAGTAAAAAAAAATCAAAAGTAAATGTCACGAGAGTGGCAGGTGCCACTGGCGGGGCAGCTGGACCAACAGCTAGCCTGGGGCCAAGGGTGGGACTCAGTGATTTTACCCAACGGCGCCTGGAGTGGACGTGGGTGTAGCATATCAAATGTTCTAGTGCCTAACGATAGAGCGTAATGCAACACTGAAAGCAACACATTATAGTAGATTTTTGGCAAAATTGTAAATGTCGCGAGAGCGGCAGGTGCCTCTGGTGGAGTAGCTGGACTACCAGCTCGCCTGAAGCCAAGGCTGGGTCTAAGGTGACTTTACCGCACGGTTTCTGCAGCGGACGTGAGTGTAGCATATAAAATGTCATCATCATCTCAAGGCAACACAATAAAGTTGAATTTTGGAAAAGTTATAAACGTCGCGATAGTGGCAGGTACCTCTGGCGGGGAAGCTGGACCACGTAGAGATGACCAACGGCGTCTGGAGTGAACGTGACGTGTAAATTTTTTTTATTACTATTGAAGTGAGATCTCGAAAGACCAAAAGACTCTAGTACTACAGTAGACTCTAGTATTACAGTAGTAAAACTGTAAAGAGAGAAATATTTTTCTGTTTTAGCCAAGGACAAGGATTCTTTTTAGTAGTACATACTCAACGTAAAAGTTTTGCCCCTTGCAAAATTTCTTTTCAGCTTTTAGCAATTTTATTTTATTGTGTAAGCAAGCTATTTTATAAAACTTCTGAGTGTAATTTAAATCACATTACAGGATTAACCTGGTCGCAGGAGGGTGAGGACTTCGCCCTGCACGCGATGCCCATAATGCATCACACCAACGTCTCCCAAGCCTGCTCCATGCTGGATGGAGTCACGGCGTACGAAGCCTCAGCATACGAACAAGCCCTGGCGGAGTACGACGACACAGCTACCACTTCCGACGACTGGGACTTCGGAGTCGACTGCGGAGACTTCATGATGTAAAACTGCGAAAACCTAACTCATACTTGAATAAGCAACCCCGATTATTCTTGCTTGTTTACCTACTTGGCAATTTCTCTGGAGACAAAGACTCTTTTCCATACCATTTTGTCTTTCGTGAAGCGCGAAAATCAATCCAACGCAGTATTTGAGAACATATACTCAGGCACCTCGCGCACTAGACGGCCATGGCCACGACCAGAGGCTGCAAAGATCAGATTAACTTAAGTTGGTATGGTGTCGAGAAACTACTAGGAAAAAGTCGATATTGCAAGAATAATAACAGTACCGTTAAAATGAAGAGAAAAGTACAGTCAAAATGAAAACGCAATAACTTTTTATGCGGATCTTAACGAACTTATAATCAATGAATTTGTCATTTTTCAATACCATAATTGTAAAAATGAAGCATTGATTATGCCTCAAAAAGACACAGAAAAAATTTATTCATGAATTTCAAGTCAGAACTTTTTATAAAAACTTCGGTTATAAAATTAATTTGTATAAGTTTGATAATATTCTTTTATTCGTATAACTTTTGCTCAAGACGATATTCAATGTGTAAGTCACAATAATTAAGAAATGTGCCAAAGAAAAGAAATCAAAACCAAAATCATCTTATGAATAATGTATAAAAAGGACGTTTATATCGCGTTCAAATATTATGTGTTACATAAAAACATAAATCGCTCATAGCTCTCAAATCAAAATCAATTAATCCATTAATCAGCTATTATAAAAGTATAACGACACTCAACTTCATATAATATTAAAATTTACTGAATTACAAAACAAATACTAGACTTTGACAATGGTTAACAGCTATGCACTAAAATTTTAAACAGCCAATTTGAAAAATCTGCAATCAATTGTCAATGAAAAAATAAAACAATATAAAACAAAAGACTCAATATCCCTTTATAGTTGCATGCTATATATTATAATAGGTAGTCGTACGTACTGTGTGTTTGTCATAGAGAAGATGTGTGTAGCCATGAATTCATTAGACAATCAAATCGTACGAACTTTGGTAATGTATCAATAGTTTAAAATGGATAGGAGATTGCTCGCTGAATTAAAAGGTTTATTTTATTTAATTCTTTGTTCAATTATAAATAAATATACCTTTATTTTTATTATTAAAAACGGGCGATAGTCTTCCACTTTCTACATGGGAGAGACCCAAGGGCTCGTGGACAATTGGCAATCTTTAGATACCTTTTAAAGCTAACAATGACAATATGACATAATTTATGTAATAAATATTGTCAATTTCAACCCTGTTCATGGAGGTTAGAGAGAAGGAGAACGATCGCTACGTGCTAAAGCATTAGCCCGCCTGTCCCTGAAAATTTGTAGAATTTATAGTTCATTTTTCAGCCACCAGCCGCGCTGCCGTCGCGTAGTATCTGTGAAGTTAGCTGTTTATGAGTACAAATAGATGAAGTTAGTTGAATAATGTACAAATTTCCTTCACGGCATTGGTCATTTCAAATTAGCGCACAACAGCCCGCTTTTATTGCGACAACTTAGCGATCGCAGCGCCTCACTTATTTTGTCCATATTTCTGGGACACTATTTTCTACAGCCATCGTTCTCCTTCTCTCTAACCTCCATGAACCAGTTAATCAAATATTGCCATTTGTTTTTGGGCCCCGATGTCGCATGTCGCAGGGGCAGGCGTCCACAAGCCACGATGACCGCTTTTTACCAGGTGGGCCGTGTCCTTGTTCGCCAACTTTATACTGAATAATTCTAATAATCCTGCGATAGTTTGACCTCGTTTATGGGAAAAAATATGATAATACTTTAGAATTCTAAAGCAATAGGTTATTGCCCAAAAGTTTTAGGCTACCAGCTGCTTCTCAAAACTTCGTTTTGTTGTTTGAGAAGTTCCATCATTTTCTTCGTCAACACAAAAGAACGCACAAAATAAATACTTCGAATAACTTTGTTCCAGAACATTTGTTTTTTTATTATGAGAAAGAGTTTAGCGCCAATTACTAACAAAAAAGAAATATTCACGTTAAATGTCATAATTATTCCTTGTTATTATTATTACATTTCTTTTTTAAAAAAACATTTAAAAATATAAAAATGTATTTTTCAACATTGCGCATTTTGAACGACTCAGGGTAATTATTTAGAATTATATGTACATAATTATATTTCACTTGCACATTTTTTATATATTTTATAAAAAAAACACGTTTCACGGCATTTGCCGAATACAAGTTGTATGTTTTTTGCAAGTAATAAAATAAACGAAACATTTAGGATTACAACTTTTTCAAAATACAAAAAGAAATAAATATTATGTATCTTTATTGTAATGTATCTGTTGGCTTACACTAAGGTAATACTAACAGATATGTTAGTTAGAAACAAATAAAATGTGAAATTCCATTGCGACGCACGATTTACACGCCGATCACAGTTGCATGGGTCCATTTTTCAAGTGACATGTTAGCGTATATTAGTACGTATTTACAGAAGCACATTGCTTCAAAAAATACACGTAGCCACCGATACCCATGCTACGGAGCAATGAATATAATGATGCGTTGCTACATATTCGTGTCCAGCATTTGTAGCATTTAAACTACATTGGCTACAGATTCAAGTCAACTACGAGTATTTTATGACGTCACTGAAAACTGTTTGCGTCAGTCAGTGAATGTTAACACCATACATTTCATTCAATGTCCGTACGCAGCAATGGAACGAGTCTTTTGTTCATTGGTATAATTTTTAATATACTATTAATGAAAATTGTTGTTTGTCTTTACCGTTCATTTAAAGTTGTTGATTCATGACTCGAAAGATATTAAAATAATCAATCATGTTATGAAAGTTTTTATTGAAAAGCGGTTAAATTTTGGAAAATTATAAACTACATGTTTTTCATATACATCACTGGTAAAATGATAGGTTTCCACTGTGGCGTAGCGCTTAATCCAAATTGACACCAATTACCGAGGTATAAGAATTATTATCGAAATACTCGTATTTAGTGATAAGGTAAATTTGATGTTTAGTATGTAGTAAATGTGGTCGGTAGAGAGCAATTATCCAATTGGTTGGTACTTGGTACTACCAACAGTCGGGGCCTTTTCAGAATACACCTTTGATTGTTAACCTAATAAAACAAGAATGATTCGTATTTAAACTTGAGATTAACTCTAACTAAAATGATAAAACGAAGTGATTTACATTAAACGTAAATGAAAAAGAGCTGCGGCAATATTAGAGTATAATATGCTTTACAAAAATCGAGGTTTGGAATGGTCCCGACTCACCCAAAAAATGTAACCAGCGTGTCAACATAGCGTCGGTATATTTAGGTGTATCGTAATTTAGTACAATTAATAAAGAAAAGGATGTCTAGATGCTATAAAATCTTCCGACCTACCCAAAGACTGCCTAAAGTTATATTACCTAATACCTGTGTTGTGTCCCTAGGCACGGTGTATGTATCCTTGTCCCCCGCAAATAGGGCCACATTGCAAGTCAAAAATCAGTCTTCAAAAGTTTCTTCTTTGACAAATTAATAATAAAGTAAAAAGAAATATAATTATTAACTCTTATTTTAAATTTAAACGACTATTTTTTTAATTAATTTTTTTTATTCAAAACAAATCCAAGATAAGAATGATAACAAACAATAACTCCAATTTATTTTCCAATTCGAAGTTTCGCAACGATATGAAAGCTACCGATCGTTTTAATTAATTATAATGACTGAAAAGGTACTTTCATGTAGGTTATTTTATTCATTCAAAAATATTAATAACGTATTATATATTTGCCTTTAAATGTGTAACACTGCGCTGCGCCGCGTAATTGCGTCAATACTTCACTCCGCCACGTAAATGCATCAACACTTTACTGCGCCGGGTATTATATGTCACTTCTAATAAAGTGTGTTGACGGCATAAAGTTATTGATCTTCATGGTTGGCGGATTGCGCAGATTTAGCACTGCTGTTAAGTTAACAGCTGCATAGACTAGCTATGGCAGATGAACCACGTGCTATTGTCCAGCTTAAAAAATGTTTTCAATAACCATTTTTGCATCGATAGCGCAGTTTTGAGTTGGCGCAATTAGCCAGGCGGCGCCGTCCACTGCGCTCAAGTTGCTGAGTTTAATGTGCGATATATATATGTCAATAAATTTATTCATGTCCCTACCATACAATATTATTTACAAAATATAAAAACAACGTTGAAAAGAACACTTGCAATGTGGTTAAAATTAACTCGTAGAACAATTTTATAATAACTACGATATTAGAATAATTAATTCGAAGTCATTTAAGTGAACGCGACATGTTTATGAAACATTTATTTTTACCCTAACATGGTTAGACAATTATATATTTTTGAATTGGAAAAATGTATTTAATACGGACATGCCCAATTAATGAGGTTTCGTGCTCATGCCAAATGCCATATAATGGCTGAATGATTTATACATTTTATAATTAATTTATATATTCATTCATGAATAAATGAAACGTGGAATGGCACGTATTTTTGATAAAATACAATTAAGAAACTAATGTATGCTACTGTCCTGCAAATTCAAATAAGTATTGATTTTGTGCCTGTTCATATTTTTTCATGTTCACCAATAAAAATGTGATGATGAATAGAGAACAGAAAAAGCAACTTATTTCTCATCAAACTTTTTTAAGTTTGTTAAAACGAATTCTCAGAGTACGAGCTCTGAAATTGGCGCGCTTACGACAATTCCATAAAATGATTACATAAAACTTTAAATGTATATTGTAGTGTATTAGTGGCGTGTCCTTCACTCGTGCGGTACCTCGATTGAGTTGGAACTCAACGACGAGGACGACGCGACAGAATGAACGAGTACTCGTGTTTAAACTTCCAACCACTGATTTACCTCTTCATTTTCATCGAGGGCGAGGCGCAAGCACATTTTACTTACTTTTTCTCACTGATGCACGCACATAAATTTTATACCTTTAAAGTCAGTGAGGCAGCGTTGCCAGACTTACGATTTAAATCGTATTTATTTAATAGGACTTTTATTCAAAGAGAATACAACGCAACGTTGCCGTTTTGCACGCTCCGCGTCACCTCAAATGAGGGGCATCTCGCGAGTACCTCACGAGGGTAAATGAGGACGTCCCTCATCCTCAATAAAACGATACGAGTAAGGTACACATCGCTATTAAATATATAACATTCTTATTTACGTACAAAGTTGATCATGCGGTGTGGTTGCGTAGGTATGGTTCTCTTCTCTATCATCATCGTCTATATACAAATACAACTTGGCAATATTGACTAATATTTGAGCCCACATAAGTATGTTATGCCAAGTCGTGGCATGTGTACCCGTAATAAAATTAAAGTTTATTGAGTGAGCTAGAGCAGCTATCGTTATTACATTACGCTGTTTAACCTATAGAAAATCACTTGTCGCATTAAATGTTTAGCTAAAGAGATATTGAATTAACATACACTTAATACACATACGAAGATGTGTCTCAGGTGTACTGTTTGTTTCACTAAAATGACATAAGTAAGTAAATATCAAGAAAACGTTACCTCTGAAATCAGACTTTAAAGAAAACTGGAACATGATTTAGACGCATAAACTTAATATTATGGGTATAACAACTTAAATGAAGGTTTTTAAAATGCTCCATAATAGTAATGTAATTGGAGAATTAGTTAATTTGAAGTAAAATCCTCCATTTAAGATTATTTCGACTTAGCGACAATATATTTATGAAACAAGTTGAAAATCGCCAAGTTGTATTTGGATTAAAGATCAAATTTTAACAAATATGATTAGCAGAGCTCCTAAAACCTTATCATTTTACAATTATTTTCTTATATAATTTGCACAGTTTTTATGCATAGGTACCAACAAACTGGTGGCTGGTATGAACTCTACGATATATTCATATTTTTTATAATATTATAAAAAGCTTAAATTTATTTATATCGATAACTAAATGTGTTCTTATCGTGTCATTTACAAAATAAATTTGTGTACGATAGTTTTTCGTTTAAGAATGCTTGTTCGGTGGCTCATTAGATTGGTCCGCTAAATAATGAAATATATGATGTTATTGAGAGAGAATTTAGCTTAATATACATAACGATTGTAGTTATTTGTAACGTTAGTGAAAGGAAAATGCGACCTCTTACAATTTGTAATGAAGAAACGGTTAAAACGTGTTGTCTCTTTAAGAGAGTCCTGGCTTTAGACGCGACTCTGCGACAACCATTTCTTTTCTTACTAAAATTTTCTGCGTTATATATTCTAATGCGAAATATGCTGTGTTCTGTTTGTCCATGCATGTTCGTATTTTAGAGTCTCACTCAGGAGATCAATGTATTTGTACAAAAAGAAATCTACAAAAACAGCTCATTAATGCTGTATCTTCCTTACATCAAGTAATTCTCTATGCTGTAATCTAGGCTATGGAGCAGGGTTTAGATTTTTTTTAAAACCTTTTCTCTATACGCTTTGGTCAATTTTACTTTTGATTTCAGTAAAGCGTAATATAACTGTTTTGCATGAACTTATGAGCTAATTAAATTACTTTATGGTAAAAATAGTTTTTCTATACACGTGAAATTATGAGAAAAAGAACTATTTTATTTATGTGAAAGCAAGACAGCATTACTACATTTTATTATGAAAGAGATTAGAATTCAATCATTTTACATAAAAAAAATTATAATTTTTATTATTTTTAAAGCATGTAACTGCTTGATATTTAAATCTAAAGAAAATATAACTAGAAAAAAATCCACGCGGACCAGGCAGCAGACGGGACTCGAAACCGCACCCTTCGCAATCAAAAAAAAATTAATTAACATTTTCGATTATTAATGAAACGAGCTGTCGACAAATAAAAATAAATAAAACTAAATGTACTTGCCCACTTACGAGCAGCTGTCAAGTGCGCCAACATATTCTGCACTTAGTTGCAGTGAACTAATTTGGCGCAATAACGCGGCGTAGCGTAGTGTTACAAGTTAGTGTTGATTGATTTAGGACCTTATTTTATGCGTGTTTAGTGCTGCGCAGTGTAAATTGCGCCAATTAAATCTTCTGAGTGTAATCGACTACTATCAACGTGCGTACACTGATTTCTAGTCTAAGATTCTTTGATTATATAATAACAACAATGGTTATCGATGGCCACTGTGAACATTGCTTCATAACTATGTGTAGTAATAAATACAACTCAAAAAGTTACCTTTGTCTTGAGAGAGCTACCTTTGATACTTATGAATACTTGTCCCTGTTCCGTAGTATTTTTTTTAACTTGAGTTTATAAGATTATATTGTAACATCATTTTCTCAAATCTCGATAAATATTTAATGTTTAAGAATGTTTTATTATTATTATTTTTAACTAACGCCGTTATAAAATGGTATCTTCGACTGCTAAAGTCGAAAGCTACTCGACGGGGGAAGGCGGATATATGAAATGTCATCACGTTATATTAATACTAGTGGTGTTATCAAGAACTAAGGAAGAGGCGACAACACTGTTAGATCGACGACGCTCAACGCACCGTAGAAATAAACCTCTTTGTCATTAATATAATGTTTAAAGCTGTACATCTTCCTTTGCCTTATGATATTATTCTATGTAAGAGAACAAATAAATATTTTTGAATTGTATAGTATCTAATAAATTACATCTTTATAAGACAATGCGATATCAGTGAGCGAACGCCAATGGGAAGAGAGCGAGGCAATTTAAAATTGATGGTTAGGTAAAACTTTTGCGTTGCGTAATCGCATCGCAGTGTTGTAGCCTAGGTCTTAT